CCGCTGGCACCAGCTCTGGCTGGAAGCTCTGCTCCATGGAGCCTCCTTCAAGAGGACGGCAGACAGATGGTGTCGATTTTCAAGAAACGAGGGGAGCGGGTTTTTCATGGCACTTTCCCAAGATCCAACACAATTTGATGGTGCCAAGCTCGCCCACAGGATGTGAGTCATCCTGCTGCCTGGATGAGTCAATTTAGTTTGACCTGGGTTGCAGGAGATGTTTGCCGGGATGGGGTCCCAAGTATGATCAGACGCGGCCAGAAACTCTCGTGACTCGCTTCATGCCTTTTTCATATAGTTTTGGAGTAATCCCAAAGGACACCAACAGGATAAATGATAATATGCAAGGATCCCTAGAGCGAGTTTTTAGGCAGATGTCACCATGGATTGGGTGGAAGGTTCGACTGACCAACAAGCTGACCAGCTGGTTCGGCCGCGGTATTCCTTGTGTTCGGTCGGGCAAGGCGACTACATCACACTATCACCGTTAGTTGGCCCTTTTGGTCTTTTACCATAAGGTTATTCGGGTTACCACCACACTATCCTTTTGGCAAACCTTTTTGGTCTTTTGGCAAACCCCTTCTTTTTGGCAGATCCTTGGGGCGGCTTTCCGGCGCTTCAGGCGCCGGGTGGTGGGCTCCTTCCTGCGCTTCTCCCAGGGGGAGGACCTACTGCGCACCATCAGCGGTGCCCAGAAGGCGCACACCCCCGACGTGCGACGCTTGGCCAAAGGAACAGGAGGCTGATCTCTGGACCTTGGCTTTGGGCCTTCCATGGAACAGCCCTTGTGAACTTGGGCCCATGTGATTGATCTCCGGACCATGGAACAGCCCTTTGTGCGGCATCAGGGTCCCCAGTGCTTCAAATTCTGAAAGTGTTTGGGAACATGAGCAGGCAAACTGCAGACGGACGTGTATGCAGATGCCGGCCAGGGCTTTCTTTCGAGCTTTCAGGTGTGGGGGCAAGCATACCTGCACAGCCCTTGTAACGTGCCAGACGTAAACCCCTTGATGAACGGTGGGGGGCCCTTTGTGTCGTTTTTTTTCTTGCAGCAGAATGGCCGCGGTTTTGCCAAGGTTGCCGGGCAAGCAAGAAGTCAACTGACTGGTTACCTACTTTGTGCGGCTCGCTGGCAGCTCGAACTACTGGGGCAGGTAGGGGGTAAAACTCAAAGCTTGCCTAAACTAGGCCCATGAAGACCATCCGAGTGCGAACACTAGGTTTTGGTGATGTGTATTACCGGGATTTACTGAAGGGGTCAGCCTAGAGCCATGGACTTCCCTGTCCGAGGATACAACTTCGGCCTGGGTTTGGAGGCGCTGCGCCAGCCGACCTCCACCTGGGGCGCCTCGGTCAGCAAACTCGCGAAAGGGCCAGCATTTCGCTGGGTGAATTATGTCGACACACGACCGAATTCACCCCAAATGGTGGTTTATGTGGGGAGTAGCCCCCCAACCACCGCAAGTGTCAGGTTGGTGAAATATTATAGTTCACCAGCATTTCCCTTGTGTTGAAAAAGCTGGAGGGTTGACTCGTTGCGGGTCAGCTTTGGTTGGCTTGCTTGGATTTGTTTTTGTAAGGAGGTGCTCGTCAAACTTGGGGACCTTGTCAAGGCGCGAGAACGGATAACGCCTATTCCCGTCACCCCTATCCGTTTTCACAGGGCTAAACCGAACCCTTGGAGGGGTTGGCTCCTGGCCTTGATATATATATATATATATATATATATATGTACATGCTCAGATGCCTTCGAATTGGTGTGACAACATGACATTCCTTGTGCAACATGAGTTCCGGCTTGAATCCGCTTCTTTGGCCAGATTTCAATCCTTTCTTTCTGAGCCAATTGTAATCAACACTGATTGAGGCAACTTGACGCGAGTGCCATGTCCAAAAGGCTATCATGGCTTGGGACTTCGAGGACGAGAGGACGCAGCCATCACGCCCCAAAGAACCTGGACGGTGTTTCCCAGCATTTCAAGCCCTCGGAATGGCTGGTTTGATTGCTCTCCCCTGGGAACCAAACAAACACATTTCTGTCAAACTTGGGACCCACCGATTCTTGCTCATCCGCGCGGTCTCTACAGCTTCAACCCTGCAGAAGCTGCGAGGGGGGGGGGTATTTGACCAGCGACGGGGTGGATAGATGCTGGCTTAGTATGTTCAGGTGAGCAACTTGTTCTCATTTTCTCTTGGGAACCGAGCAGCATTGCCATGAACCCATGTTCCACCTCATTCCGTGCGTCGAGGCGACCTGAACTGGATTTGCGACGAGCTCCGTGGCTCTTTCACGGCACCTGAGCTTAAGTCTTGAGTGCGGCTTTTTGGTAGGTTCTGGATATGTCCCCGTTTGGTGTTTGGTTCCAGCCATTTTGGCGGGATGCAGAAACAAGCTGGTCTCAGATATCCGGGCTTTGTCACTTTGAGTGCCCTGTTCTTCCGAGCCAGAATGAAAAGCGAGAGTCATTCACCACTCTCCATGGAGGCATCTTTCATTTTTAGTGATGCGTTCCCTTCCTGTGGTAGCATTCGCCCAGCTTTTTTGCAAAGTTGCTGACATACACAAAGTGCACCCCGCAAGCAATTGCGCGCTTGCCAAGTGGTCCACGACTTCTTTGAGGCTCATTCCCAACCGCAAAGAAACATCGGAGGCTTTATACTCTTTCAGGGTCTGTGACTCATTGGTTTCGGCCATACAGGATTCTTCTTTTGGGGTTGAAGTCTCAGGTGTCCTTGTTTAAACTTTTTGCATTTGACTCCCGCGCAAAGGACATTCGCAGTTAACCCCATCCGCTAGTGCTTGATAAAATCCGAAGGGCTCATGTCAAAGGCCTCTTGAAGCATGAGATCTTGAGGTAAGGAAAGGTATGATGCTCATATGATATGGGTGGGTCAAACATAGGTACACAAAATGGAACCCTGGCAAATGGAACCGAAAACTACAACCTGCGGTCCCTGGTGGTTTGATTTTGACCCATACCCATATGATAAAACTCAATATATAATACGGCAGAAAACAATACATGCCACTGCAATGCGATACAATACAATTCAATGTACTATCATGGCATACAATAGAATCCCATATGATATGATAGAATATCATGTAAGAACACATAACATATCATAATAGAATATACAATGATCTAAACCACGTACTGTATACTGCAATGTGTGTTACTAGAACATGCTATACTAGACTATACAATACTATGCTATACGGGACTAGTACCAATACCTATACGAACGCTAATACTAAAACTAATACTAAAACTAATACTAATATCAACACTAATAACGATGCTCATGCCAATGCTCAGACTACTACTATTACGAGTACTAGTACTAGTTCTAGTACAACTACCAGTACCACTACCACTATTACAACAACAACAACTACTGCTACTACCACGACGACTTCAACTACTACTGCTATTACTACTTGTGCTACTGCTGCTGCTGCTGCTGCTTGCCGCTGCCGCTGCTGCTGCTACTACTACTGCTACTGCTACTCCTACTGGTGGTGCTGCTGCTGCCAATGCTAATGTGAATGCTAATGCAAATACCCTAACCCATGATATAATACACCATTTCAGGTTACAGTATATTGTTATACATCCATATGCACTGTATAGTGATACTATAGCACAGCATACTACAACACAATATAGATAATATCATGTGTAACACAATATAAGATATACGATATGCTACAACAGGTTACTTTTTGATACAATATAACATGACTTCACACAGCATGATATGATATAGCATGACATGACAGGATATGGCATAGTACAATATGACATTATATATATATATATTACATAAATACAAGAGATAACATGTACCAATATACAGTGTACAATATATGGAATGTACTGTATGATATAGCATATTCAACGACTATAAGGGGGTACCTACCCTCCAGACCGCCAAATCTCAGACTTGTGAAAGCTCTTGACTAAGGTCCGCTTCCCTAAAAAATGTAACTAAACATCCAGACATGGTAGTTAAGTCGGAGAGATTTAAAGATACATTGGGTATGGGCTATTCTCAGTCGACCGTGTGTTCAGGAGGCTGCCAGTTGATTCACAAGGCGAAGGTCCTTAAATCTTGTAATAGAGTTCCCGGATCTGGTTGGGTTCCACTACCTCCAGGGGCAAATAGGATACCTTCAAGCAAATCCTTGGGGGTTGCAGGGGTTTTGCGGGGGTGGGGGGTTGGGGAGGGGGGTTGGGGAGGGGGGTTGGGGAGGGGGGTTGGGGGGGTGGACTGGGGTGGGACTGGCGGGGGGGATTGGGGGGGGGGGGGTTGGGTTGGTGGGTGTGTGTGTGGGAGTCGTCTTAGGTGCTCTGCGAGTTGCTGCAGCAGGAGCTCGGCGCGCTGGCGCCGCTGCAGCAAGAGCCCGCAGGCTCCCTAGGCGATGGCTCGATGGCTCGATGGCTCGATGGCTCGATGGCTCGATGGCTCGATGGCTCGATGGCTCGATGGCTCGAGGGGGCGGGGGGGCGGGGGGACGGGGGGACGGGGGGACGGGGGGGGGGGGTTGGGTTGGTTTGACTTTTGGTTCTGCCCACTTAGACCCCGAGCCGATCAAGAAGAGCTCGCCAGGATGGAAGATCCTCAATAATAGGGGGGGGGGGGGGTTATTTACAAAAAATACACCAGCATAGACCCCAGATAGCACACCACGGCCACGAACCATGACGCAGCATCATAATGGTTCCCGCGGCATCATGATGATGTTGACAGCATCATGATGATGTTGACAGCATCGTGATGATACCACAGCAACTTAGCATGGTGCGCTAAATAAACGCGCAGACAACGTCCTACTGAGCGCAGCAGCAGAATGTTACATGTTCGGCAGAAAAAAGGCAGAGACGACGTCCGAGTTCGACAGCATCATGATGACGCGGGCAGTAGCATGATGATGCGAACGGAATCATTGTGATGGTAGGGGCAGGCAAATGATGATACCACAGCCACAAATCATCTTGCAACAGCGTAATGAAATTCAGCATCATCCTGATCTTGACAGCATCATGGCGCCACCGCACCCACGAACCATAACGCAGCATCGCAGTGATTCCAGCAGCATCATGACGTGGTTGACAACATCATGATGATACACCAGCCACGAACCACTACGCGCCACAGTTAGGGCAGCAACAACGTCCGAACCGATTGAGTTGACAACATCATGATGCTGCGGACAGCATCATGATGATGCCACAACCGCGACACCCCAAATTGCACCCGCCCTCAAAACAGCAGCGCCGCCAGCACCTCACAACCGAACAGCACCCCCAAAACCGCGCCTCTGTTAGAACCTCTGTGGCTTTCAATTGTCTGAGAAATCAGCGCGGACAGCAGCACCTCAAACAGCAACCCAAAACAGCACCTGACACAGCCCCAAACTGCATGCCCCTAGCACCCGCCGGCAATCTCGGAAAATTGCGTCCACACCTCAAACAGCACCACCCCCAAAAACAGCACCTGCATCAGCGCCCCAAACTGCATGCAGCCCTCAATCTGGCAAAAATGCGCCTACACCGTCACCAGCACCTCAAACAACACCCCAGAGCAGCAGCTGCGCCAGCACCACCATGCCCCCGTAGCACCGGCCGTCAAGCTCGCAAAACAACACCTCACTAGCACCCCAAATTGCATGCCCCCTAGCACCCGGCCATCACTCTCGCAAAACAGCACCTCCACCGGCACCCCAAGCTGGATGCCCCCTAGCACCCGGCCGTCAAGCTCGCAAAACAGCATCCACCAAGTGCCCCAAACTGCATGCTGGCACCCGGCCGTCAATCTCGCAAAGCGGCGCCTCCACCAGCAGCCCAAGCTGGATGCCCCGTAGCACCCGGCCGCCAAGCTCGCAAAACAGCATCCACCAGCACCCCAAACTGCATGCCCCTGGCACCGGGCCGCCAATCTTGCAACCGGCCGTCAAGCTCGCAAAACACCACCTCACCAGCACCCCAAATTGCATGCCCTAGCACCCGGCCATCACTCTCGCAAAACAGCACCTTCGCAAAACAGCATCCACCAAGCACCCTGAATTGCATGCCCTAGCACCCGGCCATCACTCTCGCAACAGCACCTCCACCAGCACCCCAAGCTGGATGCCCCCTAGCACCCGGCCGTCAAGCTCGCAAAACAGCATCCACCAAGTGCCCCAAACTGCATGCTGGCACCCGGCCGTCAATCTCGCAAAGCGGCACCTCCACCAGCAGCCCAAGCTGGATGCCCCCTGGCACCCGGCCGTCAAGCTCGCAAAACAGCATCCACCAGCACCCCAAACTGCATGCCCCCTAGCACCCGGACCTCAAGCTCGCAAATCACTTTCCCTTCTTTATTAGAAGTTAGAACCCCTATAGCTTTCAGCTATCTGGGGGAAAACACTTGCTGGAAGTGTTCTGTATACAAAGCGATGTCCAGTTGTTGCACATTGTAAGCTTTCTGGGCAAAATAGGCTACCCCGCACAGCGGTTGTGCAACCTTACTAGTGAAGGTTGCTTTCATAGAGGGAGCCTTTGTCTTCGGTGGGTCAACCATTACAATCAATCCAACATGGTGGATGGTTTGGAGCTTTCTTTACGCGCCAGTGGTTCGATTTGTCCACGCCGCCGCTTTTGCTCCAACCCTTTGCTTTGCCTTTGCTTTGTCCGTGTTCCGCCGACAAACTTGTAGCAACCAAGGCATTTCCAGAAGGCTGTGCACTTCCGTGGAAGACAAGCTTTTGGGACGTCCCCGTTTGTTTCCCAACAGACCGGGGTCCCTAAAGTGTCTTTTTTTTGTGATATTTTCCTCGTTTGTGGTTTTCAAAATCAGTTCTTTTTTTGCCCGTCTAATGTGAGCTTCCCTTCATGGGGGTGATGTCTTGAGAAAGGTCCCCCAGGCCAGCTGGAAACCTTGGCAAAGCCGGCTGGATGGAGTCAGTCACCCTGAAATCGGTGAGCAAATCTCGGCCTAAACTTTTGTGTGCCACTTGTTGAACGCACCAGCCATGTAGCCACCCATCCGAATCCAACTTGGATGTTTGACTTCATCTACAGCAGAGCTAGCCTGAATGCCGGAAGCAAAGCCCACCAGGCAGGCCTGGAATCGAAGCCATCGAAGTACCAAAGAACCATAACTCAACCAATCCGAAGCAGTTTTTCCAGAACAACCCGTAAGCAATCCAAAGCCAATCCTGAACCAGCCCAAGAGCAAGCCGAAACCGAACCCTCTCTGAACCAATTCAACACTCGACCGGCAACCGCACAAGACATGCTCCTGCGTTGCACCGCGATGCACACGGAAAAACTGGAGATTTGGATAGAATCGATTTCAATGCAACTGCAATCATATTAACCCCCAGGCAAGGATAGGGTTGCGCTCTAATTTCAGGGTGTTGGCAAAAGACAGCCAGACTCGTTTAGCTTTTGAGGAATAGGATCCCCCCTTCTCAACCTCGGCGAGCTACCATTGAGCCTTTGAGAATGTGCC